AACCACGGAACTCCCCCCGTAATTGGGGAGGAGAGAGGTGGATAGGGGAAAAGAGAGAGACCCCTGGCTATAAGACCCCGATGAGTGGGGTAGAGACCCCGGTGCAGGGGGTAGATCTCAGGAATGAAAAACAATATGTAAAATAAATGACGAAATGAAAAATGACATCAACAAAATGGTGTTTCTTTCAATTCTTCTCAATAAAATTTCACTCCATACCATATTTTCTATCTAATCCAGTTTTGTTTCTTTCAGGAGACCAGTCATTTGAAGAACATCACATTGGATTTGTCACATATCCCATACGTTATTCTTCATTCCTTGATATATGTTTTATTTTTGTAATGCCATCAATGGTATTGTTATATTTTCCTTCCATTTTCCTTGTTATTGTCACATTCTAACTAAAAAGAAAGTTCCATGTAATCCCTTGTTTAGAGATGCTCATTATTGTAATACTGTCTGTAATAAATCAATTTTTTCCTTTGTTTCAAGGGTCAAGCAGTTACATGGTTGAAAGATCCTGCACAGAGCATACAGCAGGTAAGCTTGCGCTAAGAAGGAAGAAGAATCTACAAATATATATATATATGACTAATTACAAAGTATGATTTCTGCAAGGAGGTTATAGGCCCTTGGTTTCTGCTCAGCTTTTAAATCTTACTGTCCTGTTTCTATCCTCCAGATGGGACCTCTCCTAGGGAAGGAAGCAGAACTTGGTCCAGGAGAAACAGACCGGGGAGGAACCAGCCATCAGCAGAAGGATACAGCACATAGTATATGTATGGTATATAATTTTGTAAATAATTGTATATACAAGTCATGTAAAGCTTCTCAAATATCAATAATATATGTAGTGGCATAGAAAATGTAAGGTATACAGGTATAATTATGCCAACCATGTGTAGATTATTCAATATGAATGTAGTAGTTTCTTAGTGTATACAAGTCGTGTATAGCATATTCAACATCTGATATTTGTAGTGGCATAGTACATGTATGATATAAAATCATGTCAATCATATGTTGATTATTTCATGTATGAATGTAAGTGTTTTAGAGTATATGCAAGTCATGTACATCTTATTCAATATTTATGTGTCATAGTGTATTTGATTAATGTATAGTTCAATATGTATAGTTTATATATGTATAGTTTTATAGTTAATCAATATATAGTCATGTATAGTTTCCTTTTCTTTGCAATTATACCTTCAAAATGTATCAAATCTCATCATTGTAAGTACCTGTAATAGGATTGTGAGATAAGAGTGGTGATGTGAAATTTTGTAAGTAAAACTGTCGAGACTCAAAGTGCTTGTTCTTGCATCTCTGTTCTCAATTACATAGCTACTATATAATTCATTTGAGGGTATTCCAGTTTTGCACTGGGGTAAGTTTGGAATAGTCCACTTTTGCGTGGGAGGGAGATGGACTGAAATATGCTGTATTTGCTCCCAAGCAAATGTCGGCCTTTCTAGTGTTTAAACTTAAATTACTGAATTTTAAAAAATGCGTCAGAAACCCGTTGCCATGGCAACATAACTAATGTATTAACTTATCTAGTTCCCAGATATATTTTAGGTAAACTTACCAAATTTGATGGTTCTAGCGCAAGCCACTCAGGCGCTATATATGAGATGAAAGTTGGCGCGGGCCTGAAAAGCCCCCGGTCAAAATAGGATTAAAGCATGTCATGTGTATAAAATTGTTTCTTTTTTCGATTGGAACAAATTTTACCTTTACGCGTGCTTTTAAGTATACGCAAAGATCGAATTTTATGCCCAAAGGAGTTATGTTGAAAGGATTTAAACCATGCATCAACATTTGACACTGTTACACTCTAACAATTCTACTATATTTCAGCTATGTTGTACTTGAGGTTGAAAGTTCCAGTGGTGACCTCGTGGAACTAGGTCGGATCCCACTGGAAATGTGCAAATGGATCCACCAGTGCGACGTCAAGTTCATTCTGCTACAGCAAGAGGACAACCCAAACGCGTTACTTATAGAATGCCACAAAGCCAGTGAGGCAGATAGGGAATTTGCCAAACTGAAAAGTCGAGGCTACAAAGGTACAACACCAAGTGAGACAGTGCGGCTGCTTGAGGGACAAAGGGTAGAAGTAAGTTTAGTGGGCAATGTGTCATTCGCGTCGTTCTGCAGATTCAGCAAGCATCTCGTCTTCCACAGTAAGATGAACCCCCGTCTCAACATCGTAGCCAAGGCAGACCAAGTGAGGGGAGAAGAAGGTTTAGAAGGGGTCGGCTACGTTGAGTTCTTAGCCTTGCCTAAAATCCTTGTAGAAAAGACCAAAGAAAGGAGAGTCCGCGCACTTTGCAATTACAGATCATCCGGCAAACGAGAACGTTCAAGACCCAGACAACTCTGTTATATTCCGATCAAACTACCTTACCAGAGACAACAGACAACAGAAATAAATGTACAGGTGAATCTATTCAAATGTTACCGTGTTCTAATCTTTCTTTCGTTGTATTTCTTTTTTTCTTACTTCAGTACAGCAACGAAACACTTTTTCAAGTTATCACATCAACGTTAACCAAGGCATTATACATGGGTATACGTAAATGAATTGGGCGAAAGTAAAAACAAATAGAGGCATATAAATTAACAGATCTTAATATATTATATATTTACTCCAGGTTGGAGAGGGAGCTAGCGCAGAAAGATTTGCAAGTGAGTACTAAGTATTTGAGTCACTATGAATGGATACAACTTTCATTGTAATAACAAAGCCAAACTAGAGTTCCACGATCTCATACCTTCGCCAAATGATGTCAATCTTTATGACTGACAAAGTAAAGATTATTTCTCCTTATTTGCATGAATTATATCAGTTGATCATATTCTCCACTAAAAGACAGCCTTATCTTAACAAAGAAAGCCATTGTCATTTCCTCATGAATTACGCAAATGAGGTCCTTATCTAAATACGTTATGTTTAATGATGTTCACCATCACTCTACTTTCAAATAACCCAAGTATGAAATTCCAGGCAATTAGCGTAATGAAATTATAACATGTTCTCATTAATTATGCAAATTAAGAATTAATTTACATAATCGATATCGATCTGCCAGTGTTTCTCTCCTTCTCAATTACGGTTCCGGGTCGGAGTTTAAATCTGATCAGGGTTCCATATAGTGCGCAGTAAATAGCCTGATCTGCGAGGTTGTCACGCTAGGTTTGGCTCCCCATAGCTCGATGATCGTTGTAAATTTTCAAATATAGGTTTTGAATTGATCAAAAAACCTTGGGATTGTAGTGTTTTTCGGCGCGGTGAAGCTGGACGGCCAACGAAGCGTTTTTGGCATTAGTCCGCGAGCAAGGGTGATGCGGTTTGTCGCCTGATTACCCAAATAGCTGCGTTCTATGTGGAATTTCAAGGCAGTCGCATCACCTGATTTTGCGAAAAACTTATCACAACAACCTATATTTTTTCCGTTTTTCAGAAACAGGAAGTAGTGAGCTATTTCAGCACATAAGCCGTTAGCCTGGGAAAATTCGTTTTTTCCAGGCAGGTCCGTTGAAAAAAAAGAAAAAAAAACTATATTTTTCGTATATCCAAAATTTACGTTTAACTACAGTTTCTACCCAAACTCTAGAGTCAACAGACAATAACCAAAATTGTATCGGAAGCCAGCTGGAAACCTCGGTTGACTGATGGAATGAGATTTCCCGGCGTACTTTTCTTGGCTGAGTTGTAGCAATTCGGTCTGAGGGTGTCCGCCGGATCCAAAATCGTGAAAAAAACTCCGATCCGAGACCTTACATATGTTACAAGCTTGAATAGTCCTATAATGTAATGCAGCTGATTCATAGAATGTCCTCAAAAATTATGCAAATTACATCCAGATTTGCATTGTTGTCGCATAATTCTGTAAAGCGTCAACCTACCAATCAAATTTCGTGACCCAGGCGCGTCCAGATCATATCAAAACCGGCAGTTCCGTTGCAGTACAACAACAAGTCGCCAGGGGGCCCAAAATCTAACCATTTCTAGGTCTCATCAAGACCTACTTACCTACCATGTGTGAAGATAATCCATTTAAGCCTTCTCGAGTTATCGTGTTTACAGACACGCCTCTGAAAACATAACCTTCTTGGCGAAGGTAACCATCGTAAGTCCTAAACGACTCACTGTTAAACTTAAAGTAATTGTTTTCGCCAGTATATATTAAAAACAGTTTCAAATTTCATCATATGTCAGTTGTATTTGTGTTTTAGGTACAGGCGTGTACGAGTACTTTTACTTCATCAAGGAAGGGGTCAGCACGAAGTGGGGAGATCTAGCCTTTCATCTGGGATTTAAGTGGGCAGATATCACCAACATCGCCGGCAGAAACCGCGATGACAAGACCAGCTGTATGGACATGCTATGTGAGTGGCAGAGTCGGGAGGGAAACGATGCTACCATAGAGGTTCTGAAGGAGGCTCTGTTAAAGTCAGATCTGCGCAACGTGGTAGATGAGCTAAATGACAAATTCTTTTCCACATAGCACTTTCTGTATAGATGAATATACTTGCAAGCTAGTAGTGTAGGAAAGGTGTGTCAAGTAGCAACAGTGGTCATAATGTTGATAATTACCTAATGAGCTATATTCATTGTTTTGTAACGTCACGTCTTTACATTGCTTTATTAATTTTTGTCTGTTCTTTGTTTTGTATCACTTCTTCGTCAATGCCAGGTGTATATTGTTCTTGGCGTAACCTACGAAAATGGATGTATGTTTTTATTAGAGACGGAAATATTTCACATAAGGTACTTAAGGTTGGCTAGCAGCAATCTCCAATGTTAAGATATACAATGAATTACCATTGAAGTTCTTGTTATCGATTTGTTTTATTGATCTAAGATTACAATTTAAAACTTACGTCAGAAACGTTAGTCTAATTAGTAATCGAATCCTTGAACTGAAACTTTCAGCTTAAAATCTTTATTAATGTCGCGACAGTTATTGTTACTTATACGTTGTATAATATGGAGAGTAATGTTTGAAAAATAATGTATTATTTTGGAATACGAGTAGAATCATTTTGTATAATTTGAATGGAATCATTTTGTATAATTTGAATCATTGAATAAGAATATTGTACTATTTGTCGCTTACTAAACGAAGGCAAATGTTAATGTTTTATCGACTAATCTTATTGTAAATAGCCTCGCAATTCAGACTTCCAATACGGCTACCAGAAGGCATGTATTAAATAAAGTTGTGAGACGAGCGAAACAAAGTCCTTTGTAATTAAAGCTGTCAAAAGACCCGAAGTTTACTTGGAGTCTGCAGAGGATGTCATTAATTAAATTTACATGCTGTGGACTAATTGCAAACATGGTAAGAGTGTGTGCTGAGTGAATCATTGGTACTGTGGTATGTAACGTTACATATATCTCCTATACATGACACTAAAAGACTAGTCTATGGTAATGATCTTTGATTTTAAACTTCATCCTTGGCCTTAAAAGGGCAAAACATTCAAATACCCCAGTTATAACGTTAATGTTACTCTATTATAACAGTACATAAAAGTCAGTAATATAAGCAAAATATCCTTCTACCCATCCTTTCGAATTCCCAATAAAGGTATAACGTTAAATCGTATACGTAGGCAAGACCATTCTGAGGTAAACATATTGCATTTGCTTGCAAATGTTACCTTTCTAGTTAAAT